TGTTCAGCTCATGGAAGCCTCATCCTAAATCTAAATCTAACCCCAAATTCTGGATGCCTAAACATTCAAAAACTGCTATTCTGTTTGCCTACATGCAATTTAGAGGATGACAGAGATGGCTGGGCTAGAAAGAAGGCTGTTGTACATCTCCTAGATACCAATATGCATACCTGGGCCTTGATAGCTGCCATGTGGGATCATTTTAGAAAGAGATAGTTGGGTAAATATTAGTAAGAGAAAGAAGTTAGAGTACTAGCCTGAGATCAGGGCTGGTGTGAACTACTCTCTGACATGTAGTGCTGGGACTGGTTTAGGTGGCTTTGGGCATAGCTAGGCAGAAACTTTGTTTTAAGACCATTTTTTGACCAATTAGGCCTGACTGAGACCTGGAGGTTTTTTGGTTTGTGGTTTGGGGTTTTTTGGGGGGTTTTTTTGGGGTTTTTTTTTTTTTTTTAATTCTAGCTGAGACTTATCCTTAGTGTTATCAGTATACTTATATAAAGCTAGTAGCAATTATATAAACAGAAGTTATTCAATTTCCTTCCCATTTGCTGGTCCTATAAATTGAAAACTATCTCTAACTTCCTTTACCCAGAACTAAAACTATTCTTAAAGGTTTAAGCACTTCTCTGGCTTAACCTGGGGGGCTATTTTTGGCTGTAGGTGAAATCATATTTGCCCTCATTTTGCCCAGAATTCACCTCCACTGCCTAACTTGCCTCTTAGTCCTAACTGTAATAAAGCAGGTACCTCTCTCAGCTTGGACTTGTATGTGTACTTACCTGGCTCCTAACACCACCTCTTCTCAAATTATGTAACCTACTACCTTTCCAAACAAATATGACCCTAGCTCCAACTATAAACTCAATCCTAGACAAACCTTTGCCATAGCATTCATTCCATGAACTGTAATTTTAACCTCAGAAGCAAATGTAGCCAAGTCATTTAACTGCCTAATCTCCAGTTATCTTGCATGTACTTTCTAAAATAAATAATTACATTAGATGAATGGCCTCTTCTGGTCTAAATCCTAACATTCACGCTCAAACCTCAGCTTTTGGTCAACTAACTTTACTCTAAAATACACCTCCAATCTGAAGCTAAAGTTAACCAGATGTCTCTTGTGCATGTTTTCCTGGTAGTCTCCTTTGAGCACAACCAGTGCCCCAGTCTGTTGGCCTTTGCTGACCTGGGCTGTAGTGCTGCTATCAGCCTTAGCCATGGTCTTTTAAACAGTTGCAGTGTTTGCCAGGTGACTCCTCCCAGGGTTTATCTCCAAGTTAGACCTATGCCCCCTTATGGATCAAGATGATACTTCAGGTCAATGATCTCTGCTAACTTTGAACATACCCATGTCTATCCTAAACATTTTCTCCAGCCCTACTTCCCTAGTTGTTCCAGAAATACACATAGCCAGATGTCCTCACCAGCCTCTGCAGTCACCTTCTGAACTAGCATATTACTCATGCTACTAAGCCTCTGGATGCTGAAACCTTATGCTTCATGTTACCTTATTAATGTAGACCAAGAGCTGCTCTAGCCAGCTCCCCTTTTCACCTGGCAAGTCACTTAATGTAGGAGATCCCCAGATTCTGTCTGTAGAACTCCTTATCCTCTCATTTGGTTTAGCCTTAATAGCATTAGATGAGCCTCATTTGTTTGCCAGAGGAGTAACTATAGCCAGGTGGACCAAACCTGTTCTCAGCTTTGCTGCCTTGCCTCTTAAGAGCTAAGCAATTCTTATAGTTTTCTACCTTACCTAACCCAAAACTCAGGCTGAACTGTAGCCTTCAGGCTCATCTTTCTAAATAGGTGTCTAGAGCACAAGTGAAGCTTAGCGTCAGGGCAGAGAAATAAATATGAGTGCAGCATTGTCTAGAAGTGCTTCACAGCTCTGT